GGCGACTCCCTTCTTCTCAGGAAGGAAGATGATTCTGCCTGCCTCTCCACTCCAGGTATCTGACGAAGTGAGGCTTTGCCCACAAAAGTTGATGTCCAGACAAATCTGTTTGTCTCTACGGTGCCACAGGCCTCCTCGTTGCGTTGGGGGATGCAGACTAACCACAGCGACCCCTGTGGTACTGCTCCACACAGGAGGCCAGGCCATGGCTTCAATCGCAGCCCCCTCCTCCCGCTCCCAGAGCACTGCCCCAAAAGTCCCCCACTCACTGTGCATGGGGAGCGCAAGACTGCCTGGCTTCTGTCTGAGGTCGAAGAAGTGGGAGGGAGGAGAGGCTCCTTAAACGTTCCTGCCCCAGCATGCACAGCCAGGCAGGGTTAGGCACAATCGAGTGCACCATAGGCAGAGCCGGATGAACCCTTCACTGAACTCTAGGCAAACACCCTCTTCTGCACCTCATCACGAGGCATAGAAACAAATAGCCGCCAGTTGTCACCTTCTCACCCTCCCCCACAACCTCCTACCCCAGGAACCCCTGTATGCACCTCATCCCAGTCACCTCAGCCTCCTGCTATCTCATCCCAGGAGCCCTGGCCTGCCTCACTCCATTCTCACCCCTTAGTCTTCCCTGCTGGTGAGCCTTGGATCCATGCATCCCATTTTCCCTAAGGAGAAGTGGTCCATTCATCCCACTTCTCAGTCCTCCACATTGAGAGGAACAGGAGTCTCTGCCATTACATGAGCAGACTGAGGTGCCGGAGAAGACCCGAGTGCCACCCTAAGAATGCTCCCAGTGACCTAGTGACCCACATGCCAATTACTGCGTGCCAGGCAGCCGAAAAGATAACAACCAGCTGGCCACCCGAGGAGGCAGGCCCAGTCTGAGGAGCACTGTGACCATGTGTGCAAGGTCGTGTCATTCCTCACTCTGATTTGACCCAGACACTCCTCCATTATGATGGAAGCAAAGTTGGGCCTAATTTGAGTGGACAGGATCACAGAACACCTCAGGTTTTTCCTCCTGGTGGTTGGGAACTACTCTGCCCTCTGGCCCATGATTTGGGGGGGCACAAATTTGAGACTTGGGCACCTATCTTGTTGGCCAGGGCCTTAATCCAGGCCTGACTGTCTGTAGAAAATGATGTCCCTGCTCACATGGTGCAATTCACACTAGAGCCTAATTCAACGGGTCCATGGCCATTTAGGGGAGCTGCTGCTTTCCATCCAGTTACCACAACACCAATTATCCCTCTCCTCAAACCTGCCAGCATGTTTGGCATTTGCTGGACGCCCCAGTTGAGAGGCCAAAGACTGAAAGGACCCGGAAGGAGAACTGTTTCCTCCTGCCTAGAAAGCTCCAGGCTGGTGGTGCCGTGGAGGGAGGACTGTGCTAAGGCATTTCTGCTCTGCCCATCTAGAGCAAAATCAAAGGTTTCATTCTCCAAAGCTGATATCTGTCAGGGTTTTAAAATTCACTGGAAAATCTCTATCAATACCTTCAGAGAAGGGCACAGCTGTTCTGGGTAGAACAGCTTGCTCCTTAGGAGGGAGGACTTACCCAGTTGAGATATACATGTACTGGGATGCCATGCACACACAGACATCAGGGCTGCTGGGAGGTAAAGGACTGAAACCAGAACTCTCAGCACCAAAACCAGAGACCTGTATGGCTTGAGCTAAAGGAGACCGACCGACCTGCACGCGTCATGCATTGGTGCAAGCTGTATAACTACCAAGTCCAGCCATTGGAGGGCGACATACCGCCAAGTTGAATAACTACCAAGACCAACCACTGGAGGGAGACATACCGCCAAGTTGAATAACTACCAACACCAGCCACTAGAGGGAGACATACCGCCACGTTGTATAACTACCAAATCCAGCCACTAGAGGGAGACATACCGCCACGTTGTATAACTACCAAGTACAGAGGGAGACATAATGAGCCACACACAACCTATTACCACACGTTAGTTCTGCTAATGAGAGGTCCCCAAGAATTCAAATCTGTCTGAGAGGACATTTGGAACCGAACTGTGGCCTATGTACATTTATGTATGCCACTACACTCACTGCGCATCACCCACAGAGACGAAAAAACCTAGCTTTGGGTGTTCTGCTAATCAGCTTAGCAGCATTGGAAACTCTCCTGAGCGGCCGCACAAGCACCTAACTTACAGGCTCCCAACCATTAAAGCAAAGGCAACATCTCTCATGCTGCACCCAGCCAAGACCTACTGTGTGGCAGAATTTTGCCCATTGGCTGTGGAGTGCTGGTATTTTCATGGGGCACTGATGTTGGGGAGGGAGAGGAGCAGCGTTACTCTCGATTTTGAACTCACTGGTGGTTCCTTCCTCTGGTACTGCTGTCTTTGCACAAGTGGTGGTGAGTTGTGTCCTTAGGAGATTTAATGGCTTGTTACAGTGCTGCAAGAGCCTTTCTGGAAGACCCCAAGGTAATATACTGATAATATTTTTGTGAAACAAACAAACAAAAAAAGCCATGTGCTTGCTAGGGTGGTAGATGATACAGTCCACAGGACAGGCAAGGGCAGGCGGCCCGTTGTCTGTATGCTCAGGGCAAGCGCCTGGATCACCCAGCGTTTTCTGAGCTTCGTTAGCAATTAATATTTGGATTTTATTTACCCTGGGAGCTTGGACTGTGTGTCACGCTGATTGATATGAAGCACATCAAGGTGAGGGCCTCGCAGCTGGACCCAAAATCCACTCACAGCACCTTGGACATAACATCAGATGTGAACCAAACAGGCTCATGATTAATTTTGTGGCCCTGCACCTCTACTGGCAATAGCACCATTGTCAAATTACAGGGGCAGACCACGCCCAACTTGCAGCATTGCCTAGCAGTTACAGCACCAGACAGGGCTGCAGGAGACCCTGGTTCTGTGTCCATCTCTGCCAATGAGTGCCTCAGTTTCCCCATCTGTAAAATACAGATTATGACACCAACCTACTTGGTGATGTGCAAACGCTCCCATCGGCTTCCCTTACTCCTCGTGAGTAAGGGAGGAGGATGGGGGCATCTGCTGAGTTCAAATTGGTGGGTCTTCACTAGACTCGCTGGCTAAATCAAACCCTGGCAGATCAACTGCGGCAGTCATAGTGTAGGTGTGGCCTAAGCGATGAGGGTTCCAAAGTGATCGACTGTGAAAACAATCACGAGATGCTTGTTCAGTGGATGTAAATCCAGATTGCTCAATGGGGTAACGCCTCTTTATGCCAGCAGGGCATAAAGGCCATTGTCTTCTTTCTTCTCATGCGCTCTCTTAGCTTTGTACAGAAACACATTGTTTTGCACTCAGACGTAGTTTCCCTTTTCCCCCCCTTCTCCATCAGTGGCTTAAAACCATACGATAACAACCCATGTTTACATTTAAGGGTACGTCTAAACTACATTCCTCCGTCGAAGGAGGGATGTAAATTAGACATATCGAAATTGCAACTGAAGCCGGGATTTGAATTTCCCACGCTTCATTTACATAATCGCATCATGGTGTTTCTTTTAAAAATGTTATTTTGAAAGTGAAACCTCAGTCTAGACACGATTCTTTCAAAAAGAAAAGCCTTTTTCAAAAGATCCTGTACTCCTCAAAAAATGAGGTTTACAGGATCTTTCGAAAAAAGTTTTTGTTTTTGAAAGAACTGCCTCTAGACTGTGGTTTCACATTCGAAATAGCGTTTTTCGACCAGACTGCCCCGATCTGCCAACAAACAGCTGATTGGCAGAGCGGGGCAGCCATTTAAATTTAAATGAAGCCGCGATTATTTTAATCACGGCTTCATTTCCCTCTGCCGATCTGGCTAATCTACATGCCTCCATCGACGGAGGCATGTAGTCTAGACACACCCTTAGTAAGGAAACATTTACAACTCAAGCTATTTTGCAAAACCACAGGCACAAAGTCAAGGTGTGGGCGTGTCAACCTATTCAAGAACCTCTGAATGTACCCTCTTACTCTACAATGATTCTTCTAATATTTTTTTTCAATCTAAATAGGACCAATTTATCCCCATGCCCTGTTGACAGCTGTTGGAATGGACTGTCTCATTGCTTGCACAAACATCATGCCGACGTTTATTTGGTGTATTAGGGCTCAGCGAAACTTCCCCAGATGAGTTGTAAAAGGCCC